GGATCAGCTCAGTGAAGATCTTCTCACTGTCCTCCACTGTTTTATCAGCAGAGTGATTGATGGCCTCCACCTCCTGCTGATCCATTTGTAGCCGGAAATCAGAAATTCTGACTTCCCAGTTACAAAAATCTACTGGAATGCCCCCTGAAGTCAGACGTCTCACTCGAGAAGAGAGAGAAACTCCTGACTACCCCCAGTTACGATTTGTAAAGTCGAGTTCACGTTTTAATATGGCCATTCCTCACATCAGCAGTAATAAGATGTTGTGGAAAATGTAAGAGTGTGTAAGAGTGCATCTAAAATCAGCATTACATGTAATGCTTGCAAATGTAAACTGAACTCATTGAAAGTGCTGTTTGCATGTGGAAACTAAAGATTAACATGATGTTTGAAACAGGTACTGCGAACTTTCCACATGGACGCTGCCATTTTGAAATCCCAACTTCTTCGACTATGGCAACTGGAACATTGCTACTTTGGATGTGGCGTCAAAGCTGCTCCAATTACTTACTTCTGAGATAAAAGGAACAACACGTGAATGTTAAAACAAGGTATGTGACAAAACAAACCCTTCCTCCTCACTTCTTATTTTCTTCAAGTGACCATAAAACTTAGTTTTACATCCTTCATAGAGACAAAGGAGGCTACTGTTGTGGAAAAAAAGAAGACCAGACGCCTTTTTTGTGTCCAGTTTTGACCAATTAACATCAGGATATCCCTGAGGTAGGCAACGTAAACCAATTCATTGTATGTATTGTCAAACATATTTTCCAAAATCACTTCCAAATAATTCAGGGTCAAATCTTATTCCTTGACTGGAATACAGACACAGATTACTGAATATTTACATTGGATCTAACGTTTCTTCAAAGATGCTTTACTTCACTTTGTCAAGCTAAGAAAATGGTCCTTCCAATGCAGCAATCATGTGCAAAAGAGACCGACTTCCTTCAGGACAGGGTTTCTGTAAAAACATGATGTTATGTTACAGTGCAACTCCTCCTCTTGCTGCTCCTAGAAACTGAAAAGGGGTTGGTGAGGTGCATTCTGGGATTCAGAGTTTTATTCCATTGGCCTAGTTGTCTGTGTGAAGTACAGTTCCTCACAGTTGTAGGCACAACATATTTATGTATTTTTAAAAAAATACATAAATATCTTTAAATTAGACTAAGAAAAATAAATAACATAAAAGCTAAAAAGAGACATCAGAACATTAAATCCCAGTCAATAATCTGAACAAAAATCTATTTGAGTTTACAGAACTCTGCAGAGTTTCCAATGTTCCAAATCCAAACCCCAGCATGAAGCGGCTGAGTGAATCTGGTCTGGACTCTGTGGATCAGAGTCATGGATTCAGAGACGCTGTAGAAGAACAGAGTACCTGCTTCATGATCCAGGTACACTCCGACTCTGGAGGAAACTGGACCTGAGATGGAGGTCCAGATGTTGTTGTGACCAAATTTAAAACTGTTTTGGGAACACTCCAAAGCCCAGGATTTGTCATTACCTCCAAATTTACGTTCATTCCCACTTCCTGCTTTGATATTGTTGTATGCGACTGCTACGTAAATTTCACTCCCTCGCCACGCCACCTCCCAGTAACAACGTCCAGTCAGGCTCTCGTTACTCAGAACCTGACAGTAATCAGTGAATCTGTCTGGATGACTGGAATAAGACTGAGGTTCATCCATCACTGTCACTTTTCTGTCTCCCTCTGATATTAACAGATAACTGTGAGCCGTGTTTGGATCCAGAGTGATTTCACATGAATATTTTAAGAATTCAGACCTTGTCGTTGGTTCTGGTTCTGACAGTAGAACATCCACCTCAGTGACCATCAGTGAGATGTTTGTCCATGAGTCTCTC